ACCACAAGCATCATCTAGCCCCTCTTACCCCACAAGAGGTACATGAAATGCAGAGAGCCATGACTAAGAGCTCTAAGGTAAGTAAAACTAATCTCTATGTTTCACCTAAATCTGTGTTTAAATCTCTTGTTTCACAAGAAAATGTGCTACTAATGGTTTTCAAGGAAGTGTTGTTTTCAGGACAAGATGAAAAGGAGCTACTACCAGAAGTACTTGAGTTACTTAAACGGTTTGTAGATGTTTTTCCAGATGAGATTCCACCAGGATTACCACCAGTAAGGGGGATAGAGCATCAAATCGATCTTGTACCAAGAGCACCTATACCAAACCGTGCAGCCTATAGAGTCAATCCAGAGGAGGCCAAGGAGTTAGAAAAGCAAGTTCAAGAGCTCATGTCAAAAGGATACATCAGAGAGAGCCTAAGTCCTTGTGCAGTTCCTGTCCTTCTAGTGCCAAAGAAAGATGGTTCATGGAGGATGTGTGTTGATTGCAGAGCTGTCAACAATATAACCATCAAGTACAGGCATCCCATCCCAAGACTTGATGACATGCTGGATGAACTCAATGGAGCCACTATCTTCTCCAAGATTGATCTAAGAAGTGGTTATCACCAAGTGAGGATGAAAGAAGGAGATGGATGGAAGACTGCCTTCAAGACCAAGAGAGGGTTGTATGAATGGCTTGTTATGCCATTTGGCCTCACCAACGCCCCCAGCACATTCATGAGGCTCATGAACCATGTCTTAAGGGCATACATCTGTAATTTTGTAGTTGTCTATTTTGATGACATACTGATTTACAGCACCTGCTTAGAAGATCATCTCAAACATCTAGAACAGGTTCTTGAAACACTTAGGTTGGAGAATCTTTATGCTAATCTTAAGAAATGCACCTTTTGCACTGATCAAGTTGTGTTTTTAGGATTTTTTGTAAGTTCTAAGGGTTTAAAAGTTGATGAAGAAAGATAAAGGCTATACAAGATTGGCCAACTCCATCAACTATTGGACATGTAAGGAGTTTCCATAGGCTGGCAAGTTTTTATAGAAGATTTGTCAAGGATTTCAGCACCATTGAAGCCCCACTCACGTCAGTTATCAAGAAGAATGTTGCATTTAAATGGGGAGAAGCACAAGAAGAGGCGTTCAACAAGCTCAAACACAGCCTCACCCATGCACCAGTTTTGGTATTGCCTAATTTTGATCAGACTTTTGAGATTGAATGTGATGCTTCAGGAACTGGTATAGGAGCTGTCTTGACTCAAAGAGGACGTCCAGTAGCTTTCTTTAGTGAGAAGTTCAATGGAGCAGCCTTGAACTACCCCACTTATGACAAGGAGCTTTATGCTTTGGTGAGATCTCTTGAAACTTGGCAACACTATTTATTATCTAAAAAGTTTGTCATTCATACAGACCATGAGACTCTTAAACACTTAAGAGGACAAACTACACTTAAGAAGAGACATGCCAAATGGCTGGAGTTTGTAGAAACCTTCCCTTACATTATCAAGTGTAAGAAGGGAAAAGAAAATATAGTGGCTGATGCTCTTTCTAGGCGCTATGCTCTCATCACCACTATGGAGGCTAAGGTAATGGGTTTTGAACATATTAAGTTGCAATATGAAACAGACCCTGATTTTGCAGATACATACAAAGAGTGCTACAAAGGAGCTGTAGGTCCATTCTATCAGCATGAAGGTTTCTTGTTCAGAGACAAGAGATTGTGCATTCCACAAGGTTCCATGCGAGATTTGCTGTTAAGAGAATCACATGGAGGTGGTTTAATGGGACACTTTAGAGTAGACAAGACGTTGAGCATTGTAGTGGAGCATTTCTTCTGGCCTCATCTTAAAAGAGATGTTGAACGGTTCTGTTCCAAGTGCATCATCTGCCTTAAGGCAAAATCCAGGTCATACTCTCATGGTCTTTATCTTCCATTGCCTACCTAATATGCCTTGGGAAGATGTTTCTATGGATTTTGTACTAGGTTTGCCCAAGATAAGGAACAAGAACTCCATCTTTGTGGTGGTGGACCGATTCTCTAAGATGGCACACTTCATACCTTGTGCAAAGACCAATGATGCTACACAGACAGCTGACTTGTTCTTCAAGGAGGTGGTACATCTACATGGTCTACCACGGACCATTGTCTCAGATAGAGACACTAAATTCCTCAGCCACTTCTGGAAAACGCTTTAGAGGAAGCTAGGGACGAAGTTGCTATTCTCCACAATATGCCATCCCCAAACAGATGGCCAGACTGAAGTTGTCAACCGCACATTATCCACCCTTTTGAGGGCCACCATCGGTAACAACTTGAAAAATTGGCTTGACTGTTTACCATTTGTTGAGTTTTCTTATAACCGTATCCCACACTCTGCTACTAAATTCTCTCCTTTTGAGATTGTTTACGGTTTTAAGCCTCTCACACCACTGGACCTTTCTCCACTTCCACAAAATAAGCATGCCAGCCAAGATGGAGAGAGGAAGGCTGAGTTTGTTAAGAAGTTGCACCTCAAGGCAAAGGAGAATGTAGAGAAGAAAACACTTCAGTACAAGAGTAAAGCAGACAAAGGGAGGAAAGAAGTCACCTTTCAACCAGGAGATTGGGTGTGGTTGCACATGAGGACAGAACGTTTTCCCACTCAAAGGAAGTCCAAACTTTCGCCAAGAGGAGATGGACCATTCAAGGTGCTAGAACGTGTCAATGATAATGCCTACAAGCTGGAACTGTCAGGTGAGTTAAACATTTCTCCCACTTTCAATATTACTGATTTATCTCCTTTTGATGTGGCAGAAACAGTTCTGAGGTCAGAACCCTCTCAAGAGGGAGGGAATGATGCGGACATCAAACCTGAAGTAGTGATTCAAACAATGGGGTTTCCACCAAGGACAAGAGCTGGTACAAAAAGACTTCAAGAAGAGTATAATCAAGCTGTGGAGAGTCTAATAAGCCAACAAGCATTTGAAGAAATAACGGACCAACTTGACAAGTTTGCCATCACTTCAACGGACACTTCACAGGAGACACTTGAAGACCACATCACTCAAGTTCATGAGACACACCAGCAGGACGGTCCATACATCAAATTCAACTCACATGAAGAAGTTTGGCCGGTTATATCATCCAACCAAGGAACCACCTTGTTTTCCATCAAACCGAGCTGAATCAAAGCAAAGGAGAGATCAAACCGGATTTCCAAATGTACCAATCCGCGCACAGCAAACCAAGGTAAATTTCTGAATCATTTATATCATATTTTTGACTAATCCTTGTGTTTATCTTTGTTTGATCTCAACAGCTAAATCCCTTAAAATTAGCTATCTTTTATTTATGAACTTTTGTATTTCTTGCTTTGATTTTCCTTTGATTTTGCATTTTTGATTCTTGCATTAATTATTGTAATAAATTGGCCAAGGAAGCCCTCAGCTGCTTGAACCATATATAAGGTTCCATTCAGCTATGTACTTTTTACACTTGATTAATAAGAAAAACCCTTTTTGTTGTTCTTTCAGAATTGCAAACAAAAACCAGAGTTCTTTGAGATTGTGTGAGAAGCCTTTCTCTTGAGTTCTTGACTTATCTCTGCTTGTTCCATAAAGCTGAGTGGCGTCCCTCATTCTATCATCCTTCCATTCCATCCACTGATCAACCTGAAAGAGACCTTAGTCCAGCAGATTGATTCCATCACCATCCACTTCGATCATCCTTTGAACAAGTAGAAAGAGACCTCAGTCCAGCTGCTTTGTTTCCATTTATTCACCTATCAACTATAAGATCATACCCCCTTGATCTTATATCAGACACAGTCGTAGACTCTCTAAACTGTATGCATGTAGGCAATCATTCTCCCCATTAATTCGCAATCAGGGTTGAGGAGTCTTTCTAGAAAATTGTTAGCATTTTCATCAAGGACTCTGAATTTAGAGACCATGAGGAAGTATGATCGGTTCATCATCATCAAGGGACATGGATCAGATTGCTGTATGTAACACGTCGGCCATCGATGATTTTGCAGCAGGGTTGTGGTTGTGGATGCAGAGATCACGGTGGCTAGGGGGAATCTTGGATAGTAGGTCTACCGTAGTATGGGTAAATTTGCCATTATGTGGGCAATATTCAGTGATAATTTTGAGGGAAATCATGATTTAGAAAGAGGAAAAAATTGAAAGATTTGGTATCAGAAGAGGATTAAAGGGAATGGAAAGATGGTACCAAAATATCAAAATTTTCTGTTTTTATCGTTGCAATTCAGTCGGCTTGAGGATCCACTCCTAAAATGGAGAGATAATTGAAAAAGGAGATGGAAGGCTGAACCCTATATTCCCACTAGAGGTGTCTAAGCAAAAAAGAGTTGACACATCCTTAAAAATAGTTTTTAAGAAGATTATGTTCTCACTGCCTGAGAAGAATTCTTCAGAGCTATACTAGGCGATTACTCCCTTAAAAGAAGTTTCTAATAGGATTATGTTCTCACTGCCTGAGACGAATTCTTCAGAGATATATTATGCGATTACTCCGTCGTTTCACTCTCCGTACATAAACTCTTTGCACGGGTTTTGATAACATAGCATGTGATTTAGTTTTAATTGTATGGTTGAAAAAGATATATAGTTTAACTATATTTTGTGAAAACATATTAGAAACTAGGCTTTTTATTTATGTCAATTCTATTATACCCTTAAAATGTAAATATATTGAACTTTAAATAAACAAATACTGGAACACCACTAAAATAAAAAGGGATCTTCTGATTTTTGACCTAAACATCTACCTTATCTAGAAACTTATGTTTAGTATTGATTAAAAAAAAATGTTCCGTTTTGTTTTTCTTTTTATTTTTTTACTATTGTTTGCTTCATTGTCCATCGATATGTTATCCAAGAGCGGTGACTTGTTTTCACTAAATCGGCCAATAATTTTAAACAAGAACTTGGAGTAATCTGAATCAACCTCCATCGTGAAACTAATCTATTTTCCCATTTTCTTTTTACAACTTGAGATTACATTGGGTGTGGGATGGTTTTCATTTGACACGATCTTTCACTAGTAAAAAAACTGACAATAACCACAAACTATTTCGTAACTAAGGCAAAAATACTGTGGTTATACGAAAAGTTACGAAAAAACAATGTTTAAACAATCATAACTAATATATTACATGACTTTTCGTAGCTACACAACCACAAATTACTCACTATTATTTTCATGGTAACATTGGTCATGAAATAGCCACGATTGTTCGTGTTTACATAGCCACAACATATTCATGGCTACTCTATGACTAATATAGCCACACAATATTACTGATGAATTCGTGACTAATCTAGCCACACACACATAATTCGTGACTATGTATTAAACCTGAGAAAAAAAAAATTTTGTGATTTTTGATAATGAAATCATATGCTAAAATGCTTAATGCTAAACTGAAATGTTAAAATAATGACAAAATGCTAAAATGGAATAATAATAATCAATATCATACATGAAAAAATTATCCAACATCTAAACATTCAGGGCTCAAGCTTTTACAAGTTTAATTATAAAACAAAAAATAGTTACTCTCCTAATAAATCAGCACACCACTTATCTAGTGGGGATTGTTCTTGAGTCGGGTTTGTGGTCTTAGCATGATGAGCTGAAGGTGTAGACACATCAGCGGGAGGAGGATAAGCTGTACGGGCAGCAGCAGCAGGAGGAGTGGTTCCAACTTTTTGTAATAATGCATTTAATACGGCCACTATTTCATCCTTGACCGTGGCCAACTCTTCCCTCAATCACTCTTCATCGCCACCACATCTTGTTTAAGTTCATTAATGTTTGACTTGAGAGCTTCAGAATGAACCTCCAAACCGGAGATACGCATGTGCATGTCCACGCTGTGTGAAAGAGATGCATAGATTGGCTCTGTCGGGTTGAAATTTCGTAGCTGCACACTGCTTATTCCGTATACTCTCCCATGGCTTGTCTTACTGCGCTGTAAAAAGAATCAAATAGACAAAATCAGAGACAACACAGTCAAAAGACGCACAACAAAAATAGCAACTCAAGTTCTTATTCTCACAAACACAAATGCATATAAGATACATACTCAACTTAAGTAAATGGCAATAAGTTGAAACGAGTTTACATAGAGTCAAAACCATATCTCTAATTATCGACAAACAGCGACTAAAAAAATCAGTGAGTTATTTTCTAGTACCTTGAGAAATTCTTGGTTAGGGAGAATGTGAGAAGGAGTTGCAGAGGTGTCTTAACTGGAAGAAATAGGAGATCCATTAACAGCTGTCATCTTTGCTACGGCTTCCTCTATTTCAAGGACAAAAGTCTCAGATCGACATCAATGAAACTTCCATTTGATCATGTTTATGTCTTCCGCACGAGATCGGTTTAAGGCGGTGGTTCATAAAGACTACACTCCACCATCTTCAAAACAAATTTAAAACAAAGAGATAAAAAAATAAGTAGAAAATATAACATATTAAATATTTAAAAAGGGAGACAAAAAAATTCATTTACCATATCATATTCAATCTTAAAAAAAAATTGAGGACCTGTACAATGCTTGTGCATCCTTTTTTATGAGGGTTTGATTTGGGAGATTCAGCCACTGACTTGCTCCTTTTACAGGCTAGTTCTGTTGACCAAAACTCCAGCAGAGTGGTCCAGTCAGCTTCACTTATGTACTTAGGCTTCTGGTTTAGTCTCTTCTTCTTGCTAATTTTTTGACATATTGTAGTATGTGTGTGCAATTTCCAGAGACGGTAGACATTGTCCTTAATACGATCCTCCCAGTAGTAGTTTTGATAAATGAAAAAAAAGAAACATTAATATTTGTATGGTAGCACATAACAGTTAGTAATTTTTGAGAAACAAGCACTTACCACAAAAGTCTGCCACCACTTCTCTTTCCTATCATCAGAAACGGATTTCCAGCTACTACATGGTCCTATATAGTAGCCTTGCCAAGTTGTTCGGATGAATTTGTGGACAGAGGGGTCGTGAGATAAGAAGAATTTGAGTCAGAGATGACAAAACATTATCTGAAGAAAGAGGAATACTCGATTTTGTAGAAAACTTGCCTTAAAGCGCCATTATGTTTCCTTCGAAAGAGTTGTGACTAAAGCTCTCTGGACAGAGCATTCAGTAATGCTTCTAGGATAATACGGGATAGCTATGAGCAGCTGAAGAAAAATTGCTTGTAGGTCCAACAGCTCTTGGTGGCATGGTACAAGCTGAAGCGCTTGTAGATCCAACAGCTCCTAGTGGTGGGGGAGGACCTGAAGTGATTCTAAATCTAACAGCTCCCGGTGGAATGACATTACCTGTCAAAACAACAATAACTTCATGTCAAAACAACAATAACTTAACTCAACAGAATTTTGAAGAAAAATAACATACACACTCACGGTAAACACAAACACACACACTCAAGATTTTAGCAAACTTATACACACACTCAAGGTAAACACATACAAACACTCAAGATTCTAGCTAAGCACATACACACTCTCACACTCCAAACATGGAAGAGCTAATCGAAACCTAACTCTAACTTCAAACATGCGAGAGACAATCGAAACCCAAAAACTCAATTCGAACTCCAAACATGCAAGAGCCAATCGAAACCCAAAAACTCAATTCGAACTCCAAACAATCGAGACCCGGTTGAAGCAAGGGTTTTTGAGGCCCTGGTTATACTTCAGAGTAATCCTTATCCCCAAATCAGATGTAGTATAGGGTCTTAGGTGTCAAACACACTTGTGGATATTGAGATACAAACAATGATATAAGCTAAGTGAGATTAGGCATTTTGATTGTAAAGTAGTGATTCTAGCAACCTAACAATGCAATAAAAAGAAAGCAGAAATCAAATGCAAGTTAACAAAGACTAAACAATGAACCCAAAGCAATAACTAAGCAAGAACTAAATGAGAAAGACCATTTAAGCAATACTAAGCAAGATGATCTTAAGACAATCAGTAAAAAACAAGACTTAAGGTTCTGAGAAATTGTGGGAATAATGGCTTTCAAGAGTGACAAAGAGGATTTCTAGCAAAGACAAACATCAAGCATTCCTAAGCAAGAAATTCTCAATCTTGTACTCCTAGACAAGGTATCTAAAAGGAATCAGCTTGGCGTCAATAAGCGATTCATATTCAATAAGATTGAAGTGTCAAACCCACTTGTGATAGTGTATTATTCATCCATGAGCATAAAGATCAGAACCATTCTAGCCTAAGAGAAGTACTAAGCAAGTAAACAACTCTCACCCAAGCAATAATTCAGATCAACCTATCAATCTTGTGAACCATATAGGGATCTAGTTAGCTAAGCACCAATCAAGAATATGGACTTAAGCACACAATTGTGAAATCCTAAGAATGATAAGCAATGAAGAGGAATCAAACGAAGGCAAGATCTTTCAATGCATACTATCTAACCATCAAGCAAGAATCTCAAAACCAACACTATCTAGCCCTAAGCGAATCATCTAGCAAGGTGAACTATCGCTTTGGTGTCACTGAACAAAGGAAACATAGACCAAGCTAAACTATCATGGTAAAAGAGCCCACCATGAATAGAAATGAGATATCAAGACATCAAGTGAACCATATGCATCAATCAATATCATACTCAATCAAAAGGAGCAAACTTTATTAACAACAATCACTTTGCAAGAGAAAGAGACAACAGAGAATAAATTAATTAAGCCTAATCACCCCTTAATCACATCTTAATCACCCTTTCCCAACTTATAACCCTAAATATAAGGTAAACTAGTCAATAATTATGTTTAATCCCATTAGTTTAGAGTTAAATATGATTGGATGAGATTAAAATGCAAAGATAAGAAATCTAGACTACCAGGGTGCTAAAACAAAGATTAAGAGATAAGATTAAACTATAAAAGTGCAAACCTTATTAAAGGAAATGATTCTAAAGTAAATCGCCATTTAAGGTTCAAAAACAAGATGAAAGGAGAAAGTTTTTGATAGATAGACTAAGATGACTTAAAGACAATGTTTTGCAGTTTTCCTTTTATAGTAGAGAACCAAAAGAAGGGAAAAAAAACCTAAAAATAAGATATGGTCAACGAAAATCAGATGGTCAAGGCGCGGATAAGTTGCATTGGGGCTGTACGGACGGTGTTCTGCTCGATGTACAACCCCGATATGGCTTGCGCAGCGCGTATCCGCTTCCTTGCTCGATGTTGGACCTCGATGCGGACACCAAATGCTTCGACTCCTCGAATCGATCCTCTTCCTCACATCCTGCGGCTTACATCGAGCACACTCCACATAGGTTTTGCTCGATATCCTTGCTCGATATGGGATCAGACTTTGCAAAAGCTCCTTCTTTGATATCCTCTTTGAACATGAGCTGCTTTCATCTCCTCCTCAACTCCAAGAACCTCCAAAAGCACCTGAAAATCACCACAAACATGAACATGTATGCAAATGTATGTAATCCTAAACTAAATGCATGTAATGTTGATTCTAAGTACAAATGAGACTAAAATGCTAAACTATAATGCAAAAAAAAGGGAAAAGATGTATGAAATGCAGCCTAAAATTCTCTAATATAGCAAGATATCAACACTCCCACACTTATATTTTGCTTGCCATCAAGCAAAGAAACACTTAACATGGTGATGAGGTTTTAAAATGGGAACTCATATCTCTAAAAATGCTAAGAATAAATCAAAATGAAGTCCATGTTCTTAATTCTAGAGTGCACTTGATGGAAGAATACATTAAACACTTAACCACTTTCATCACAATGCAAGAATGATCACAATGCTATCAACCTACACATGCTCATAAAATCAAACAACCTTTTAAACATTTAATTAAGCTCAAACCTTGAATCATGCTTATGTAAATGCAAATGTGTCATTTGGCTAAGGGACAAGGCTTAGTGGAATCAAAATAATTTCACTTTTCAAATAGGTTTTGGTGTTTAAGGGGTTCTCTCAAGGAAAAGCATGGTTGTGCTTTGGCAAAATGCTAAGGGTCAAAGAACAACTTACACATACAAAGGAAGACTCTCATCTACCCAAGACCTATAAGATATGTTCCTACCTCTAGCTAATTAATGTAAACCCGTCTATGCTACCCTTTCTAAGAACTTTTAAACTTTTTTTAGAAACCCAAAAACTCTTCTCTTTCAAGGGTTTTGGAGGACACTTCTTCTTTTGAACTTCAAGTGGTGGCAGTTTGCTTACTTTGAGTTTAGCTCTTTTATTTGGTAATGCTGGTGCTTATTTCGCCTTTGGCTTTCTGATTTACGTGCTTTGCACTCATTGCATCTTCTTTGCATCTTTGAACATGAGCCCTCTTTCCTTTTGAACTTAGAACCACCATTTCCACTATTGCTTGTGTCACACTCCTTTTCTTTTTGCCTTGGCTTCTTTTCTTTTTTGCTTCTCTTAAAAACTAACCCAAGATAAATCCCAAACCATTCCCCAAAACATCCTAGCCTATCTAACTCAAGAGTGAGCTAGTTCAACAATGGAAATACTTCCCTTGTAGTTCCAACCCAACATTTTTTGGTAAGCAACAACCATGAAGGAAAGAGGCCTCACAAATCACACACTATTAATGTCTTGGCTTGAAAGGAGGTTTTGTTAAGGGTGAGGAAATATAAATGGATCTTTTAGAGAGTGGCAAAAGAGAATAAGAAGATCCAAATATTTCAAACTACCCATGACATCAATCACAAATGCATAAGACATGATAATTGAAAATTCAAATTAGGTTCCACTTAAACAAAGGTTGAAATCATTTCAAAGCATGCTTCAGTCTCCAACAAAGTGCACACAAATGCAAATTCCAAAAGTGGTTCAGCTTTATTTCTAGTTCAACATCAAATGCACCAAAAGACTAAAAACAAGGGCTTCATTTTCATAAACTACTAGCATTAACAAATATGTACTATCATAGTTCCCAATTTAAGCAAGCAAGCTAGTCATATATGAATGCATGAAGTCTAGATCCTATATGAATGCATAAAAATCAAACTCTTTTTGTGAAGCAAATTTTGAAATATTTTCAATTTTTGGGTTTTTTCTATGCCTTAGATGCTATGTAAAACATCCACCTCAGTCTTGATTCCCAGCTCTTCCACCTCAGTCTTGATTCCCAGCTCTTCCAACAGACCAGGGCTAGCATATCTTGTTAGAGCAAAGTCCACTCTCCTCATCGCCATTATGTAGTCTTTGAGCTTAGGTGCTGCATCTTGGACTTGTTATTCTTTAACCACTGGCCTTTTTCCCTCTACTATGTTTTC